CGGATGGCTCAATATACGTGTCAATAAACATCATACATCATACAAATGGGCTCAAAGACAAGAAACACATGGTCATCTCAATAGATGCAGAGAAGGCCTTTGACAAAATTAAACATGCATTTATGTTCAAGGTCTTAGACGGAATTGGACTGGAGGGAACATACCTCAACAAAATTAAAGCCAAAGCCATATACAACAAGCCCACAGTCACCATCATCCTGAATAAAGAAAAACTAGAAGCATTCCCATTAAAATCAGGAACAAGACACGGCTGTTCACTATCTCCACTCCTTTTTTTTGTCTTTTTGAGACAGGGTCTCCCTGTAGCCCCAGCTGTCCTGGAACTCATTATGTAGACCAGGCTGGCCTTGAACTCACGAAGATCCACTGCCTCTCCCTCCCAAGTGCTGGGATTAAAGGCATGCGCTACCACGCCCAGCCTCCACTGCTTTTCAACATAGTGCTTTAAACTTCTGCAAGAGCAGTAAGTCAAGAGAAGGAAATTGAAGGAGTAATAAGTGGAAAAGAAGAGATCAAATTATCCATTTTTGCAAATGATATGACTTTATATCTAAGAGACACCAAAAATTCCACTAGAAAACTAGAAATTATTAACACGTTCAGTAAAGTGGCAGGATACAAAATTAATCTACAAAAGTCTGTAGCCTTTCCATATACCAATAACAAGCAATCAGAGAAAGATCACATGGAAACACTCCTTTTCACAATAGTTGCAAAAAATAAAATATCTTAGAATAAACCTGACCAAAGACATTAAAGACCTCTACAATGAAAATTCTAAATCTATGAAGAAATTGATTGAGAAAGATATGAGAAGATGGAAGGACCTCCCATGCTCATGGATTGGAAGAATTAATATTGTGAAAATGACCATCCTACCAAAAGCCATTTACAGATTCAATGCAATGTCAATCAAAATCCCCATGACATTCTTCACAGAATTGGAAAAGGCCATCCTAAGATTCATATAGAAGCACAAAAGACATCGGATAGCTGAAGCAACCCTGAGCACTAAGAGCAATGCTGGGGGGATTACTATACCAGATTTTAAACTATATTAGAGAACTATAGTCATAAAAACCACATGGTACTGGCACAGAAATAGACCTGCAGATCAATGGAACAAAACTGAAGACCCAAATATGAGTACATGCAATTTCAGCCACCTGACACTTGACAAAGGGGCCAAGAACATTCACTGGAGGAATGTTCAGCAAATGGTGTTGGCAAAACTGGATCTCCACCTGTAGAAGAATGAAACTGAACCCCTATCTTTCACCTTGCACAAAAGTCAACTCCAAATGGATCAAAGACCTCAATGTAAAGCCTGAAACTCTGAAACTGTGAGAAGAAAACATTGGCAAAAACCTACAAGATATAGGTGTAAGAAAGGATTTTATAAACCGGACATCAATTGTTCAGGAAACAAGGTCATGAATCAAGAAATGAGACTTCATTAAACTAAAAAGCTTCTGTACATCAAAAGCAGCAACCAACAAAGTGAAGAGAAAACCCACAGATTTGGAGAAAATCTTCACCAGCAACACATCTGACAGAGGTTTAACATCCAGAATATATAATGAACGCAAAAAACAAAGAATCAAGAAAGGAAGCAACCCAATTAAAAAATGGGCTAAGGAACTGAACAGAGAGTTCTCAAAAGAAGTAATAAAGACAGCTAAGAAGCATCTTAAAAGGTGTTTAACACCCTTAGTAATTAGGGAAATGCAAATTAAAACCACTTTAAGATTTCATCTTACCCCAGACAGACTGGCTAAGATCAAGAGAACAACTGATACCAAATGTTGGAGAGGATGTGGGGAAAGGGGAACACTCATCCACTGCTGGTGGGGCTGCAAACTGGTTCAACCCCAATGGAAAGCAGTGTAGAGAACCCTTAACTACAAATGAACCTACCATTTGACCCAGTTACACTACTCCTTGGTATATACCCAGAGATCTCATCCTATTGCAGAGACACTTGTACATCCATGTTTGTTGTTGCTCTTTTCGCAACAGCTAAGAGACAGAAGCAACCTAAGTGTCCCTCAACTGAAGAATGGATAATGAAAATGTGGTTCATTTATACGATGGAGTTTTACTCAGCAGTAAAGAAAGATGAAATCATGAAATTTTCAGGTAAATGGATGGAACTAGGAACTGTTATAAATGAAGTAAAAGACTCAGAAAAACAAATGACGTAAGTTTTCTCTCATATATGGATCCTAGCACCAAATCTTTGTAAGTGAGTATGTATGCAAACATAGCTACAGGAACCAGGATAATGAAAAGGAACCAGGGAGGTAAAGGAAAAGAAAGAGTCTGAGAGAAGAACAATAGGAAACAGGTGTTAATAAGGGAGGTATGGATAAAAATAGGGTTATTTTAAGGGGAGGGGGGTTATGCAAGGAACCTAGGGGATAAAGGGAAAGAAGAGCTCAAGAGAGGTGGGACCATAGGAGAAGGGTATTATTAAGGGACAAATGGGGAAAATGGGGGCACTTTAAATGGGGAAACCATGGTGGAAGGGTTAGACAATGAGAGAGAGAAATAACACCTAGGTAGTTTAAAGAAAAAGGGAACCATATTAGTCCAACAACCTGGTGACAAATTATACATACAACTAGCTCAATGAACAAAATATATGTCTAGTTAAGGTTTATCTGAGAATGCTGGGTTTTTGCCCAAGCTTTACCTACATAGTGCATGGTAATTAAAAGTACCAGATTGGTGGAACTCACCTTCTTTTATGTTTAACAGCCACATTTTGATGCCTATACTAATTTGGTCAGAGGGACTTAAAGGACAGTTTTTGCTCCTTGCCCTCCAAGGTCGACAAAGTTCCAGGGAACTATGGAGCATCTCTCAAAATGTCCTGTAACTGTGGTGAGTCACCTGTCCTCTTGATCAAGGAGGCCATGGAGACCCCCACCACTTGGACTTGAACCAGTATCCAGTCTACAAAGAGGAGGGTCAACACAGAGGAAACATTTCCTCCATGCTTCCAAGTGAAGTCAGCCACAGTCGAGTAAAGCCTTTGATTTATCTTCACATAGATGGAACTGGTAAAAGCCAGGGGCTTTTCCCATGCCCATGTGACCCCTGAGGAACAGATCCTCAAACGACCTTAAGAGTAAAAATAAGTTGGTTTATTTGGGCCAACTGTATGTTGTTAAACACCGAAAAGGAAAGTATAACCAAAGATTAAAGTGATCAGTATAATTCTTCAAGAGTCCATGTGTATAGGTAAAGGCTATATAACAAGAAACAATGCCAGACAGGAGATACCTTCCTTTGAGTTGTTGGCCAGGGTGACCCAAGAGACTCCCAGACAGTAACCCAGCATAGAACTTGGAAAATGAACAGCAAACCCCAATCTTATCTAAAGGAATGTTGGCAACTGATTGCTGCTAGATGAGGAAGAGCTGATCATCCTAAAACAAGGAATTCTAGATAGGCTGACTAGACCCAGCAGATGGACAAGCACTGTGGAACAGTGCTTGTCAGCTGGAGGAGCTGACAACACAGTGGACAGTAACAGGGATGACAGTGTAAGGGCTCCAGTAGGGAGGGGGGCTATGGGAGGGTGCCACTTGGTATGAACATTACCATTGAAATCTACCTGATGACTTTATGTCCATACTCAGGTGCCAAGGATCTCAGAAAGTAACTGACTGTGACTAGTAATAATCAGATACATAGAGATTAGAGACATATGTGCAAACATCTAAGTGTAAAAAACAGTTAATTAAATTTAAAACTCTAAGGACAAAAAAAAATAGGTTTATCTTTTTTTTCCCCCTTTGGTCTTTTTGAGACAGGGTCTCCCTGTAGCCCCAGGTGTCCTGGAACTCACTATGTAGACCAAGCTGGACTTGAACTCACAGAGATCTGCCTGCCTCTGCCTCCCGAGTGCTGGGATTAAAGGCGTGCGCTACCATGCCCGGCCAAAATAGGTACATCTTTAAGTCTACTTATCTAACATGAAAACGATAGAACACTACTATAGCTCCCAAGGGAGGGTGCTACTTTCAACAACCTTTGAAATCTTCCTTAGAAGGTTCCAATAAGGGCATTGTGTCAATCAGTACATGTGCCATTAGTTTGAATTATAAATCTTTCTGTCTCAACACATTTTGTAGTGACTGGTTTAAGTATATTTTCCTCCTAAGGTTACTACTTTAGAGAATTAGTTCATATAATCCTCAATTTTTCCTCTATAAAGAAACTTTTTTAGTTTATTAGAAAATATTAATTTATATCATAATGTATTTTATTATATTTTCATTCCTGTGTAAAGTGTATTTTGATCATATTTACCCCCATTCCCACTGATATCTTTCCTCTTTCCAAAGAGTCCCCTACTTCTATCATTACGTCTTTTTTAACGTGCTTGTGTTTAATGAGGGTTGTTTAATGGGCATTTTAGCAGTGGCTCCACCAGTGAAGAAAAATGTGTCTCCTTCATTTAGCAGCCATTCACTGCATTTATTCACACTCAGGGAGATCCAGATAGGGCTTTATGAATCCCTCCACCCTTCATGATAGAAGTTTGATGGGCCCAATTTTGTGCAGGGCTTATGCTGAGAGCCACAGCTCCTGAGAGTTCAATAGTGCAATAGCCATGCTGTACCCAGAAGAAAGCATCCCTCAACACTCCACCACTCCCTCCAGCTCTTATAATCTTTCCAAACCTATGTTTTGATGTTTCCTAGTGAAGAAACTTTTAATAAATTCCTCTATATAAAAAAAAATGAACATGAGCTGGAGAGATGGTTCAGAGGTTAAGAGCACTGGTTGCTCTTGTAGGGACCTGGGTTTGGGTCCCAGAACCAACATAGCAATTAACAACTGTACATAATTCCAGTTCCAGGAGATCTGATGCCCTCTTCTGGCCTCCGCAGGCACTGCATGCACAGGTGCAGTTACATGTAGGCAAAACACTCATAACACATAAAAACAAATTTAAAAATTAAAAAAAATAAACTTAACAAAGAATTGACATACCTTTGACTTTTTTTCTAGTTTCATCATCAGCAGTTTTAGTAGTTGGATTGTTAAATGCTTTTAGAATGCTAGCTTGTATTCTCTGTAAAACAAAGATAATAGAACTAGAAACAGTTAACTCAAACCCAATTCTCTAAATAAAAGGACTTTCAAATTGCAAGGCACACTACGAATGTGAGTTCTTTAGTATGAAAATAAAAATACCTGAATTTTAAACTAGGCATTGTAGTGCATGCCTATAATCTTAGCATTTGGAGGCAGAGGCATGATTGTAAATTGGGTCAGCCTGGACTACACAGTGAGACCCTGTTTCAAAAGCAAACTGAAACAAAAACAAAAGAAGCTAAAATCCTTCTAATGCCAAATTTTCACAGATAAGAATCAAACTTTCTATGTTCAGGTTCTTTCTTGAATTTAAAGTTTTTTGTTGTTTTTTTTTTTAAATCAATTTACAGCCAGTTTAATTTTTTTTCAGGTTTGGAGTAAGTTTGCTTTCTGCTCTTGCAAAAGTTCCCTCTCTGTCTTTCTGAACTGACATTCCTTAATAAAGACAAAGTATTTAAAAAAAAAAAAAAAAAGGAACAGATCACATGAAATTTCTTGACAATGAAGAAATCTTAATATATAAGAGGCTATCAGGCTAGTCACCATGATCTCCACATAGTATACATATGTGTGTGTGTATACACACACACACACACACACACACACACACAGGTACCCCAAAATTCCAGATTATCAACTAACATCCATAGCAAAACTTTCTTAAATCTTAATTATGGTTTTCTTTACCCGTACTTGTCAACAATGATCATGTCTTCAGAAGCTCTTAGGAAGTGATGAAGTTTATATTTCTGTATCTTTTTAGTGAGGGATGGAAAGCTCACATATGCTATACAAGAGTTCTAACACTGAGCCACACACCCCCAGCCCCTAATTTTACATTTTTTTCTGTAGAGTTTGGACAGGTCTTGTCTCACAAAAAGCTTTCAAATTGGGATAAAACTACATATTCCAAAAATAAAAACGTATTTAAGTCAACAAATGATGAGCCTTCTCATTAGTTGCACTTCTAGTTAGTGGATGAATTTTGTCAAGTGTAACTTTTATTGTTATATAGGGTGAAGGGAAACTTGTTAGATATTGTTTCAAAAAAAATCCTCTACATACATAAATAAATACATGTGCACTCTTGGGGATGGACACACACACACACACACACACACACACACACAGCTGGATAGGGATGGGTGTGGGGTGTGTGTCTGTAATCCCAGTGTGTGGGAGGCATAGACAGGGAACCCCCCAAGTAAGTTGCCTAGCCAGGCTAGCCAAAATGGCAACCTCCAGATTCAATGAGACTCAATACATAAGGTAAAGAGCTACTGCAGAACACACCCAAAGTCAACTTTGAACCTACACACACACACACAAACACACACACACACACACACATGAATATGCATACACACATGCACATACACCACATACAGAGATGTTTTTAAAAAACTACTGTATGGAGTTTTAAAAAATGTATTTATTTAATATATGTATGTGTGTAGAAGAGTATACAATTTCTTTATATTTTTTTTATGCTGGGCGTGGTGATGCACGCCTTTAATCCCAGCACTGGAAAAGCAGAGGCAGGTGGATCTCTGTGAGTTGAAGGCCAGCCTGGTCTACATAGCAAGTTCCAGGCCAGCTGGAGCTAAAGGGAGACTCGGTCTCAAAAAGACCAAAAAACCATTTTTTTTTTTTATTACATTTGTTCCAGGTATGTAGTATGGTGCACCTGTGAAAGTCAGAGAAAACTCACAGGAGTTGGTTCTCTCTTTCCAACATGTGGGTCTAGGGATTGACTTCAGATTGTCAGGTGTGGTGGCAAGTGCCCTTATCAGACAAGCCATCTTGCCAGTCCCCAAACAATATAATACTTAAACGGATCTGACTTTGAAATAAGAAACAAATCATGAATGTACTAGAAGACATAAAAATTCCTCTGTAGTCTTGGGATGGAACACCTTTTTAACTAACTCAATATTCAGAAATGCTAAAAAGAAAACTTTAAGTTTAAACTATAAAAATTTGAGTTTAATTTATATAAAAATATCAGCACAACACTATAAGCATAATCAAAACACAAATGTCAAATTTGGAAACATCTCCGTGGAATATAAAAAAATCTCTTTTTCAAAAAGAGAAACGCATGCTAAAAGTAGCATTTTTCAAAATTAGAAAAATTCAGAAGTTTTAGAAGCTCTCTTTTAGATGTTATACAGTATATTGCCGACAGATGTGGAAACTGTACAACTCCTATGGGGAGGGGAACTGATAATTTGATAATGTCTATTTAATTTAGTGTCTACCAGCCTGATAATATCTATATTTACATTATAAATGTAAATATCAGTTGACCTAGAAATCTCTTCTATACTGATATTTACACATGTACAGATAATGTAACATTGTTCATCATAGCATTGTTCATTGTTTGACCCTATCTCAAAAAGAAAAAAGCAAATTCATCAATAAAAGACTGGCTATGTATGTTAAACTAAACAATCAAATAAGAAGCTTCCTATCTTCTGATATGGAAAGATCAGGCTGAGTTAAGTGAAAAAAGAACAACTACAAAAGGTGTATGGTTGCTGAGGATCTCTTACCCAAAAAGCCTGGAACCATAAGTGCTTCAGATCCAGGTTAGGGATGCTAATCCTGTTTGTCACTAATTATACAAGCAACATCAGGTCAATATACAAGAAAGGCAAAGGAAACTCCTAACATGTCAGGAGGAATCCCTGAGTGACATCTGTTCCTCAATAGTGGGAAGTAACCAACCCAGATACAATGAGACTTGTGAGTCAGCCACACAGCATTTCTGCTGTACTTTAACAAGCCTGGATGAAAGCACTCATGGTCTTTCTTGCCTTCTGCCTTCCCAGGAAAGAGCTGTAGACTCTAGGAAAGCAAAGCCAGATTATGTTCCATAGAACATATCTTTTTTTTTTTTTTTTTTTGGTCTTTTTGAGACAAGGTCTCCCTGTAGCCCCAGATGTCCTGGAATTCACTATGTAAACCAGGCTAGCCTTGAACTCACAGAGATCCGCCTGCCTTTGCCTCCCAAGTGCCGGGACTAAAGGCGTGCGCCACCATGCCCAGCAGAACATATCTTTTAAGAGTCCCAATCAATAACAGCAATAGATTTGTGCTGACACCTAGTTGGCAAAGCAATCATTTATAAGGGTATTTAGGTAGCTCTCAAAACTATGGAAAAAAGCAATGGAATGATTTCTGTGAAAGTCAAAATAGCAGCTACTTCTGATGAGAGAATAGAAAGTGTTTAAAAAAAAAAACAAAAAACAAAAAACAACAGGCAGCTTCTAAAATACTAAGGAACTTCATTCCTGACTTCAACAGAGCTTTACTCAGCCCAGTCTTGAACGCCAAATCCTCCTGCCCCAGCTATTTTTTAACTAAGGAGAAAAGGTGCAGGTGGAAGGAGTGGGAGTGGTAAATTATGCTTATTGTGCTTTAGAGCGCACACTGATATGCATTCTTCTATATGTATAGTTCCTTATGAATGTTAATGACTATACCACCAATGATTATGAAACTAATTTGCATTTATTAACCAGCCAATGCTTATCTCATATTTCCTATAACAGATATTTTAAGTATACTTTGAAAGATAATACAAGACACCAAAACAAATATTTATAATGTAGAGTACAAAAAGTAAATGTGAAGTATTTCATAATCACACTATAATCTCTTGAAATATATTGTACCTTATTTCATCTCATTTTGTTTAAAGTTTCTTTGCGGTACTAGAGATTAAGCCTAGTCTTTGCACATGCTAAACAAGTCCTCTGTCACTGACCTATCTCCTCAGTGCCTGAGATATATTTATGTACTAAGGAAATTAGAACAATAAAATGTCTCCCAAAAGTTGTTAAATATTGGGGCAGATCTGGCTTTGGTAGGCTAAGGCTGAGATCCTACCAGACAGCCTGAGAGGGTGGGTTTGGACCTTCTCCTTCGGGGTAGCAGCTCAGAGCTCATAAGACTACCAGAGAGTATGGGGTTCTGGCCTCCCTCTGGCCTCCAACTACCAGACGGCCTGAGAACCCAGAGGACAGCCTGACAGCCCCCACATCCTGCCTCCACATGGTGGTCCTTTTAATAAGATGACGCTATACAGCAGTCCCTTCTGCATGAAATAACTACCATCATCACGACTTCCGTTGAGCAGATCGCTAAACATGGTCACAATTGGGCTTACTGACGGTTGTGCTCATTCATTAATGGAGTGCCAAGTAGGGTCACTGGACCCTTACTTACCTGAGTATCCAGCCACACTTCCCAGTCAACTAGTCCAGCCTTGGAAGACCAAAGAAAAATGAGGAAGACCCCAATAGAGGGATGCTTTTGGAAGCCCTTGTCAAGAAACTCCAACGGACTCTCATATGAACATTTGAAAATTGCCATTCTGACTTTTTTCTAGTTCCCTGTCTAGAACTTGTAATGCTAATTACTTGCCTTTACTTCTCCTTCACATCTCCTATTCATTATTCAAGGACTTTCTTATCCCCTTAGAGACAAAAGTTATGCAATTTGGGAGTCTTTTAGATAGACCCACTGAAGGGGTACTCCAAGTGCCTCCACCCTGTGTCCCTGTTCAGCATGGAAGAAGTCAGAGCAGTCAGCATCCCTATTCCCTATTGGCAATTTGGGTAACCCCTTCAGAGGATGGAGTGATAACAGGAGGTAGGAACTGGCTAGGCAGTTAAGGTAAAAAGACCCCAAAGAAATGTAGCCAGTTTCTTGTCTAAAAGTCAAAATGTCCTTTGGCCTGTTAGCAACATACTCTGTTCCAAAGACCAAAAATGTCAAAAGTATTTGGGAGCTTGTACCTAATCTTTAAAAGATTTTAGGGTTACCTCTTCAGAGGGGGGAATGTTGGAGGGGAGGGAGTGGGCATGGATTTGATCAAAACACCTTATATGCATGTATGAAATTCTCAATAAAGTTTTTTTTTAAAATTAAAAAAAAGGGCAAATTGTCTGATAATGGTAGATCTGT